TCATCAGATAGTATACGTAAGATCTGTGTTTTACTCTGTGTAAATTATATCTCATTTTAAAAAGTAAGAGAAAGGACACACAGGGTGTATACATTGATCCAAGAACATTCCCGTATATTAAAATGCAATGCAGTTATCATATTCAGAAAATGTAACATTATTGCAGCCTTGCTGTATGTACTATGCAGTCACATTTAAATACCCCAATATTGTCTTTTATAACTTTTTTTTTTTAGAGAGTGGGGAAGAGGGGGAGAGGGAGAGAATCTTTTTTTTTTTTTAATTTTTTAATGTTTATTTTTGAGAGACAGAGCATGAGCATGAGCAGGGGGAGGGCAGAGAGAGAGGGAACACAGAATCAGAAGCAGGCTCCAGGCTCTGAGCCGTCAGCACAGAGCCTGACGTGGGGTTCGAACTCTTGAACTGTGAGATCATGACCTGAGCCGAAGTCAGATGCCTAACCAACTGAGTCACCCAGGTGCTGAGAGAGACAGAGAGACAGAGTGAGAGACAGAGACAGGAGAGAGAGGAGAGACAGAGAGGGACGGGGGTGGGGGAGAGATAGAGACACACACACACACACACACACACACACACACACACAGAGAGAGAGAGAGAGAGAGAGAGAGAGAGAGAGAGAGAGAGAATCCTAAGCAGATTCCATGCTCAGTGTGGAGCCTGATGCAGGGCTTGATCCCACAATCCTAGGATCATGACGTGAGCCAAAATCAAGAGTTGGACACTCAAGCAACTGAGCCACCCAGGCGCCCCTTTCATAGCATTTTTTGTTTTTAAGTGTTTACTTATTTATTTTGAGAGAGCAAGCATATGCGTGCACACACGGGAGAGGCAGAGAGAAAGAGAGGGAGAGAGAGAATGCCAAGCAGGCTCCTTGCTGTCAGCACAGAGCCTGACATGGGACTCGATCTAATGAGCCTGAGGTCATGACCTGAGCCAAAATCAAGAGTTGGATGCTTAACTGACTGAGCCATCCAGGCATCCTGCTTTCGTAACATTTTTAGTATTCAGGTTTCAGTGAAGGATCACTTATTACCTGTTAATTTCTTTAAACACAGTTTCTTGATAGAAAATATCCTTGTGAAAAAAAAAAAAAAACCCAAAACAAAAAAACAAAACAGTCTTGAGTCCTAAGGCATATTATCTGATGCCTATAATTCTCAGCCCATTTCATTTTTGTCAGACATCTACAGTTAATGTTTGGAAAGTTATGGTGTCAAATGTGTAGAGTTTATAAAATGGAAAGATTAAGGATTTTTAAAAAGGCAGAATTAGAATTGCTAATCTTTCATTTTCTTAAAAGTTCTGTTTGCATTTTACAGAAAATATGGCTTTAGAAACTTGGGATGGTAGTTTGAATTGCAAACAAATTTTTTTTGCAGTATTTCTGTTTGTTTAATTAATGAGATTTGTAATCAACACTAGGTTCCCCTAGACTCTAGGGCCTCTGGAAAGGAAATTAGCTTTTAGTGACTTACTTGCCAGAGAAGCATTTAGCATTATAATTTTTCTTTTTTAATGTTATTTTCTTGATCACAAAAGCCAATATACATTAATTGTAGAAAATACCTCATGTTGAAAAGAAAGTCCTTACAACTCTGCCACCTAGAGGTGGCGATGACTAACATACATAAGGAATATCATTAATATCATTGTTCTTGTCTTTTGTTTATGCAAACACATTCACACAATTTTTTTAAAAACAGGTGATGGAATCATACCATATGAATTTGCTTAATTCACTTGCTGTATCATCATTTCTTGTCATTAAATACCCTGCAGCTTTATTTCAAATGACTGTCTATGGTAGTGTTTCTTGATGGAAATACTGGAATTATTTTTTTGTTTTAAAACTTTTTTATTGTAGAAATATAAGAGTAAACTGCTTACAACATAAATGTTCAGCTTGATGAATGTTGTAAAGTAAACATCCTTGTAACTGCCACACAGATCATCAAGACATCAAGCGTGGCCAGCAGCCCCCAGAACCCTTTCCCACTCACAGCTCCCTTCTTCCCCTCAAAGGTAGTAGCTACTATCCTTTTTAGAGGTTCTATTTTTGTTTTTCCTTATTGTTTCCCACCTGTGTTTGCATCCCCAACAGTGTAGTTTATTTTTGCCTGTTTTTGGAACTTCTTACAAATGGAGTCATTACAGTGTGCTCTGTTTTGTGACTGGCTTCTTTCATTCAACATTTTTTTTTTTTTTAATTTTTTTTTTTTTTCAACGTTTATTTATTTTTGGGACAGAGAGAGACAGAGCATGAATGGGGGAGGGGCAGAGAGAGAGGGAGACACAGAATCGGAAACAGGCTCCAGGCTCTGGGCCATCAGCCCAGAGCCCGACGCGGGGCTCGAACTCCCGGACCGCGAGATCGTGACCTGGCTGAAGTCGGACACTTAACCGACTGCGCCACCCAGGCGCCCCAACATTTTGTTTTTAAAATTCATCCATATTGTTGTAGTGGCGGTAGTTCATTCATTTTTCATTGTATACTACCAAGTTTTGATTCTACTGATGATGGGCATTTTGGTTATTTATAGCCCAGGTTACAAATGTTGCTGCCATGAACACTGGATCTGCTTCACGGTGTGTGTGTGTGTGTGTGTGCGCGCGCACGCACGCGTGTATTTCTCTAGAGAATCACATGTAGGACTGACATTGCTGTGTTGTGGGATGTTTGTACCTTCAACTGTGCCACATAATGCCAAACTATTCTCAGATGGTTGGATCAGTTTTCCTCATCCTCATTAGCACTCCTTGGTATGGTTAACTTTCATTTTAGCCATTCTTATGGATGTGTTGATATCTCATTGTGGCCTTAATTTGCATTATAATGTGTTTTCCTTATTGTTAGTGAGGCTAAAGAGGTTTATGTGTGAATGTTGTTCATTTGGATATCCTATTTGGGACAGTGCTTTAATTCATGGTCTTTTGCCTATTCTTTTCCTGGGTTCTGTTTTCTTCTTGATTTATGTAATCTAGATACATGTTCTTTGTTGGTTGTATCTTCTCCAACTCTGTAGGTAGTTTGCCGTTTTTACTTCATTAATGGTGTCTTGTGGAATGAAGGATCTTAATTTTAATGTAGTTCAATTGATTGACTTTCTCTTTTTAAGGATTCATGCTTTTCATGTCCTGTGTAGTCTTAGAAATGGAAGCGTTGGGACGCCTGGGTGGCGCAGTCGGTTAAGCGTCCGACTTCAGCCAGGTCACGATCTCGCGGTCCGTGGGTTCGAGCCCCGCGTCAGGCTCTGGGCTGATGGCTCAGAGCCTGGAGCCTGTTAACGATTCTGTGTCTCCCTCTCTCTCTGCCCCTCCCCCGTTCATGCTCTGTCTCTCTCTGTCCCAAAAATAAATAAACGTTGGAAAAAAAAAAATTAAAAAAAAAAAAAAAAGAAATGGAAGCGTTGGGTTAAGAGGACTTTAGATTTTTGTTTACAGCTTACTCTCCCACTGGTAGCACATGAACCTTTGATACCATTTTCACTCTCACCAAGAATGTAGGCACGATTCCTTCACACTTACTAGAACTGGAGTTCTGGGGTCAGTTTTGCCCTTGTAACAGACGTCCTTGATTTATTAATGAGTATTTTATCTTCGTTTGCTCGTGAGACTCAAAGAGCAGGTTTGGTTCATCATTCTATGCACATGGCAGCCATTAAGCATAATTCCAAGATTGACACTAAAAATATTCTTTAGCTTTTGATTCTGAGGAGCATTTAGAGCTGGCAGGGAAAGAAATAAAGATCTAAAATGCCATTTTCTTTTTTATTAATTTAAGGCAACATGATTTTGGCTTAAATTAATGGAAATGATGAAGATTTAATACAAGGGGTCAAGGGACCCATGAAATTGATGAGTTAGAATTGTGTAGATTTCCTTTATAAATTTCTGGTGTATTTGTAAGAGGTAGAATCATGATTTTATCTGCTCTTCTTCACACACTTTATTCAAAGAAGAAGAACTCCTCGTCCTGATTTATCTCTGTTCCTCCTCTCCTCAGCCCCCAGTATTCATTCAGAGTCCTTCCTAATTGTGAGGTGGAAGGTGGCCCCTTGGTGTTCCCTGGGTTAGCGGTGGAGTTGAACTAAGACTCTGCCACAGAGCCCGTTCTCCATTAGGAGAAGAAATCAGGAGTGGAGCTCTCCTGCACTCTGGTCTGCTTTCCTTGAACTCATGGTTTAGGTGGCCAGCACTTTCCCTGGGCCTCACCACAGTCCCAAGTCCTCTTCCTGCCTGCAGACTTCCCATCATTGCCAGAATGAAATTCCTGCGGCTCACATCGTGCCCCTCTCAGCGCCCTTCAGAGACTCGCAGATAGTCAGAATCTTGGTCCCGCAGCGCAGCGTCTCATCATTTACCTGGCTGCTCGCTCTTGAGCCTTATGCACCCAGTCCTCCAGGTGCTTGTTGAAATCTGTGCTTTCCTTGCATTTGGAATCTTCTCCCTCCTGTCTCCTACTGCCAAACCATCCACCTGCTAGCTTAATGCTAGTTTAACTTTTAAAACTCAGCTTAAGAGACACATCTCCCTGCAGGCCTTACCTCCGTGCCCTCTTTCCTCCGGCTCACTGAGTTAGGTGTCCCCTCTTCCGGACTGCCCCAGCTCTCTCTGTACGTCTGTTGCTGTGCTTTGTATTGTAGTAGATTTCATTTTCTTTCCTACTCCTTTGAGTTCCTTGAGGGCAGGACCCTGATTGTCCCTCCTTATACACCACCCCCCACCAGGAACTAGCATGGTGTAGCTTATAGGGGGCACCTCATAAATGTTTAATGAGTGAGTGAACATGAAATTGTGTCTAACTTTCATGACGCACGTATGAAAAGAACTTGCAGAGAAAGAGGTCAGTTAGAACGGGATAGGAACTTATCAGTATTCTAAATCTCTCTTCTCCAAAAGCAGTGCGCATTTAGGAGTGACTGCTGTGCCTGTAGCATCTGTCGGGTTTTGCTCACCTGAGTTGTGCCTTGCTGTCACAGAAGGATGCCCTGCAGTGGTCTCGCAGTCCGGCTGCAGTGGAGGGAGAGGAGCCAGAGGACACAGCCGACGCGGAGAGCTGTGGGTCTAACGAAGCCAGCACTGTGAGTGGTGAAAACGATGGTAAGTACCCTTCACAGGATGGGCCAGGAGCTGCAGGCAGCTTGCTAGAGACTAACCTTCACTTCCCCCTCTTCCAGTTTCTCTTGATGAAACGTCTTCGAACGCATCCTGTTCTGCAGAATCTCAGAGCCGGCCTCTTTCCAATCCTAGGGACAGTTACAGAGCTTCCTCACAGGTAGGGAGGAGAGTTGGTGGCTAGGCTGGGGCTAGTTGGGGCCAGGCAGGAGATAGGACTCTTCTTCTGTGTTAACTGTGAGCGTGTAGGGAGAGTGGAGTGAATAAGTTTGGTCTTCACCTGTTGGTACAGTTCAGAGTGGGCCATAGGAAAAGTGGGCTGTGGATCTGAGAGCAGAGTGGTTTGTTTTTCTTCATTACCACAGATAATATAGTTTGCCTCCTACTTCTGACAAACACAGGAATATCTGGGACGGGGAAGGCACAGTGTAGAGTGGGGAAGCAAATGAGCTTGGGAGTCAGCACTTGGAATTATGGCCCTGCCGCTCACCAGCTTTGGGACCTTGGGCAAATTCCTTATCTGTAAAACAGGGTAACAATACAGTACACTCAGCCTGGAGTGGTAGTTGGCAAGGTGCTGGCCACGGCTCAGTAACACGAGTCAGTGCCACTCCCCCATCACATGCCTGAGCTGGTTGGATATATGAACTCTGTTGTACGAGATGGTGGGTGGAAACGTGGTGGAGAGGGACCACTCTTGTGGCCCTGCAGGTGACTCGGGCTCCTTTTGTAATCCCTCGGCGATACAGGCAAACAAGCAAAAGAAAAAGACTGGGGTGATGCTGCCTCGAGTTGTTCTGACTCCTCTGAAGGTAAACGGGGCCCACGTGGAATCTGCATCAGGTATGTGCAACCTTGTGATATGATGCTCCTTCCTCAGGTCTTGGGGCCTGCCTCCGTCTGGCAGCAGTGTCTGACCTAGGTGGTACGGTGCCCGTCGAGGCAGGAGGCCCTCCTGGTGGGCAGCACGCTGTGGTGGTGAGGCCTGAGCTAGGTTCCGGTGCTGAGCTCTGCCGTGCACACCGCCTTTTGGTCTCCCAGGGCGGCATGAGGGTCCGATGAAGGAGTGTGCAGGTGCTTGGTAAAGGTGCAGTGCTGTGCAGATGAAGATGGCGGTTTGGCATTCTTTCGTGATACCATAAAGCCAGACCATGCGGTGGTGATCTCTGACAGCCCAAGGTTGGGCCACGGAAGCACCCGCTATTGCTGGCAGTGTCTCAGGGAGAGCTGGGAGAAGTAGGCTTGTCTGAGAGCCCTGGGCGCGGCGGGTGATGCTTTTGACCAGTGGAATGCTGTGCCTTCAGGGTTCTCGGGCCGCCACGCCGATGGCGAGAGCGGCAGCCCGTCCAGCAGCAGCAGCGGCTCTCTGGCCCTGGGCAGCGCTGCTACTCGTGGCCAGGCCGAGGTCGCCCGGGACCCTGCCCCGCTCCTGAGAGGCTTCCGGAAGCCGGCCACAGGTGAGTGGCTTGGCACTCATTTCTCTGCCTGTAAAGGGGGCCCCTGCAGGCCTAGTGAGGAGAGGACATCTTCTGTTCCACTTCCTGTACCAGTTTATTTTGATTTCTTGGGTGGACCTCTAATTTTTTTTTTTTTTTTTAACCTCGTATTTTGGTTATTGCACGTGTAGATCTCTGCTAGACTAGAGAGAACTCCTTGTGGGCAGAGGTGACGCCACGTTGTTCCTTGTATGTCCCTGTAAGGGCGTGGCCCGTGCCTGCCGTGGTGCTGCTTAGCAAGTGTTGGAGTGAGTGAAAATTGCTTTTGAGCTTCTCAGGGAAGAATTCCAGCATTTATTTTCTTTCTTGGGTAGCATCCTGTCACGTTTGTTCTCAGCACCCAGAGTTGCGGTCAGGACCCCTTTTTGTAGCCTAGTCAGCATGTTGCGGAAGGAGGCCTGTGTTGAATTTGGAGTGCTCCTCCCACCCCTCGGGAGGGCTACAGGCTATTTGCAAGGCCACTATGCTGTTTGCGATTTCAGAATTTACTTCTCAGAGCCCACATGCTGGTTATTTGTAGACGGGCCACATGAAACCATTAAGAAGACTAGCCTTGGCTTCTGAAAATTCGACTAAACCGTTGCCCAAGTGGGACCTGGGTTTGTTGTCTTGCTGCTCTTCCAACTCCTCCGCAGTGCTTAACCTTAAGGTCTCATGAGTCTCTATTCTTAGTGATTTTCTCAAGTACAAGTGACATTTGCTGACGCTTCTGTGAGAGAGATTGACAGCTCAGCGGCTTTAAACGGCCCTTACTACTTTGCCGTGTGGAGATCACCTCTCTCCGTCCCGTTGAGGGAAGGCGTCTGCAGAGTCGTCTGTAGGACACTCAGTAGATTCACTTTCAGACAACCGCCATCATGTCGCCACTTGGCTTTGTGGAGCCTGTTCTCCAGCTTTGGAGGGAAGCTCGCAGCCTGCCCCCTGCCTGCTTCTCTGTGGGAAGAGTGTCCCTTTCAGCCTGTGTCCCGGCACGGCACAGAGTCTCGTCTGAGGATGCAAGCCCAAGCGTTCTCTTAGGTTTGGTGGCAACATCAGTGACCTGGACAGAGTGATTGTGACGTACAGGTTAGGGCGGCCTGGATGTATGTGCGGATCAGTTCCGCGTAGTTTGGGGGCTGCCGGTAAACGTTCTCCCTCAGTTGACATTTGTTCCTTCGCTTTGAAAAGTCGAAAATCTGTACCTTGCTTCTCACTGCTTTACAATCACAGGTCAGATGAAGCGCAACAGAGGGGAAGAGATAGATTTTGAGACGCCTGGGTCTATTCTTGTCAACACCAACCTCCGGGCCTTGATAAACTCTCGGACCTTCCATGCCCTGCCAGCCCACTTCCAACAGCAGCTCCTCTTCCTCCTGCCAGAAGTGGACAGACAGGTGCAGAGGGGCGGCCTCCTCTTTGCTTCCCTCTGGGTGGGCTTCTGTTCTCTCTCTGAGTTTCTTTATTGTGCTTTTTGCCTCGATCCCTCTAGGTGGGAACAGATGGCCTATTGCGTCTCAGCAGCAGCGCACTGAATAACGAATTCTTCACTCATGCGGCTCAGAGCTGGCGGGAACGCCTGGCTGACGGTGAGTAGACGTTCTCAGACGGCTTGAGAGGCGCCTGCCGTGTGTGGTGTCGCTTGTCCTTGGTATTTAAAACCCAGACATTCATTTTTCACCAGTCTCTTCTTTTTCTTCAAGGGAGTATTCAGTGTAAGGTAGGCTTTCCTTGCAATACTAATGAATGTGGTGGGCGTTAATGTGCCCTATAGCTTTAAAGAAGGTACAGGGTGTTTGGGCTTTTGCCGTGTTGTGTGTATATATCCACCACGTCAGCGTCATTAAAACTTTCAACTCCTGTCTTTCGGGTAATCCTGGCATTGTCTAGATGGGTGGAGGAAAGTGCACTGTGGCATTGACCTATACGCTGAGCTCTTTTTGGACATTGCCACTTGAAGTGATTGTCAGCTTCTCTTAATTTAGTTTCATGGGAGAGCTGCACGGGGAGTGTGCTGGGAGGTCCCCAAGACTCCCTCTGGGTTTGATGATTCACTAGGAGGACTCCTAGGACTCTGCATGTAGTCCTACTCAGGACTCATGGGACTTCGCATATAGTTGTACTCATGCCTGTGATTTATCACAGTGAAGGAATACAGAGCAAAGTCAGCAAAAGGAAAAGACGCTTGTAGTGAAATCCAGGGAAACCAGGCGCAAGCTTACAGAGTCCTCCCAGAGGAGTCACACAGGATGCGCTCAGTTCTCCCAGCAGTGAGCTGTTGACAGCACATGTGAAATGTGATCTGCTGGGGAAGCTTGTTGGAGACTCGGTACCTAGGTTTTTTTTTTTTGTTTTTTTTTTTTTTTTTTTACTTGGAGCTGATCATGTAGGAAGCCTCTGCCTGGCACATAACTACATTCCAGATTCCCTGAAGGAAGGCAGGTGCTTGCCATAAACCATCTTGTTTGCATAAACAGTTTAGGCACAGTGAGCCATTCATGTCAGTTAGCGGGGGTGGGAACCCTCCTGAAATCCAAGTTCCCAGATGTCAGCCAAGGGCCAACCTTGTAAGCAGGCCTTTCCAAAGATAAGCAGTCAGGCCTGCCCTGTTAACTTTTTTCTGCACAGGGAGTAAGAATGGTTCTTTTATTTGTTTCTGTTTTGCTTTTTTGATCCATGTGTTGCTTTGCTGTTGAATGACTTGATTATCTGTGGGAAGAATAAATTTCCCTAGTAATAGACATGTTAGTTCTGTCATGAGTGAGAGCATGGTGTGGCTCTGGAGGAGACAGAAACCAGCATGAAGAAGGTAGGGTTTAAAAAAAAGATCTCCACGCTGAAACCAAAGTCATGTGTATTTTGAAAAGTCCTGATGTGGTGGAATTGCAGGATTTACCTTTCCATAAGATAGACATTAATATCCTGAATGCACACACTCAAAAAGCTTTATTTCTCTTTAGGCGAATTCACTCATGAGATGCAAGTCAGGATCCGACAGGAAATGGAGAAGGAAAAGAAAGTGGAACAGTGGAAAGAAAAGTTCTTTGAAGACTACTATGGACAGAAGTAAGGCCCTCGGTGCTGTGAGTCCTGGTCTGGGCTTTGGAGGGCAGAGAAACAAATACTCTCGAAGTTGTGCATACCAGTGTGCGGGGTGAGGACAGGTTGACCGCAGTGGCTTGCTAGTCTCACTTAGCTTAATGCCACTCTTGAGAAAGCTGATAATACATTTTTCTATGGTTGGTATTATGGACCATGCACATTTATTTTGTTCTGAGATACCTAACATCTAGAATAAAATAGGCATGTCCTCTCTGCCCCGTAACTGATGGTATGAATTTGGTTTGCAGATTGGGTTTGACCAAAGAAGAGTCATTGCATCAGAACGTGGGCCACGAGGAGGCTGAAATCAAGAGTGACTTGCGTGTCCCAGGAGAATCAATGCGGCCACAGCGTGGTCCAGCTACCCGGCAGCGAGATGGGCATTTCAAGAAACGCTCTCGGCCGGATCTCCGAACTAGAGCCAGAAGGAATCTTTACAAAAAGCAGGAACCAGAACAAGCAGCGGTTGCTAAAGACACACAGTCTGTGGTACCAGACATCCCCCTCTACAAGGACGGGGAGGCTAAGAGCGACTCAGCAGAGGCGGGAGGCCCCCATCTGCCTGGCATGGCCTCTGCAGCACCTGACCCAGAGAATCCCGAATTCCTGACCCAGCCTGTGGCTTCCCGGACCCAGACCGATCCAGGCGACCTGGCACGTGCTTCCGCGTCTCCAGACAGGATTCCCAGCCTGCCTCAGGAGACTGCGGCTCAGGAGCCCAAGGATCAGAAGAGGAAGTCCTTTGAGCAGGCGGCCTCTGCGTCCTTTCCCGAAAAGAAGCCCCGGCTTGAAGACCGTCAGTCCTTTCGTAACACAATTGAAAGTGTTCACACCGAGAAGCCACAGCCCACCAAAGAGGAGCCCAAAGTCCCGCCCATCCGGGTAGGAGGCTGTTTGGTTCCTGGCTGTCCTGGAGCCAGGATCCCTTTGAGGGCCAGGAGATGTGCAGAGCCCCTTTGTAGAGATGGAAGGCTCTGGGCCATCGTGTTAATTACATGAGCGTAGAGCCCTCTGCCAGAGAACCATTCTTGAGACTGGTAGTCAGGGGGATAAGGTTCTTTTTCTTCCTCACTTCTTTTTTACTCTGTTGAAGTTATCTCGGGAGGTCAGAATCCTTTGGGGTTTTTAAATCTTGTATTAGGTGGTGGTAGATTCTTTGTGCAGTGACTCACACAGTCCCACCAGAAATTAAATTTAGAAGCATGGCATACAACAGCCCTGGAGCTGAATCTTCTCAGAATGGGGTGGTGTCACAGACAGCCATTTTACCACCATTATTTCATTTGTAAAGAAAATTATTTGATTCTTTAGGCCATGACTCCTAAGCTACTAGAATCCCAGTTTAGCCTTACAGTTGCTAGGTCAGGCCACCCAGTCAATAAAACTGTCTTCCAATTCTTCTCTTGCAGATTCAACTTTCACGTATCAAACCACCCTGGGTGGTTAAAGGTCAGCCCACTTACCAGATATGCCCCCGCATCGTCCCCATCACGGAGTCCTCCTGCCGGGGCTGGACTGGTGCCAGGACCCTCGCAGACATTAAAGCCCGTGCTCTGCAAGTCCGAGGGGCGAGAGGCCACCACTGTCATCGAGAGGCGGCCACCACTGCCATCGGAGGGGGGGGTGGCCCGGGTGGAGGTGGCGGCGGGGCCACCGATGAGGGAGGTGGCAGAGGCGGCGGCAGTGGTGATGGTGGTGAGGCCTGTGGCCACCCTGAGCCCCGCGGAGCCCCGAGCACCCCTGGAGAGTGTGCGGCAGATCTACAGCGAACACAACTACTGCCGCCTTGTTCTCTAAACGGGGAGCATATCCAGGCTGGGTCTGCCGTGTCCAGAGCCAGGAGAGAGGACCCGATCGCTCTCAGAAAGGAGGAGAGCTGCCCGCTACGGAGGCTTCCAGATGTCCTCACAAGTGGTCTGGAAGATGCCTCCCAGCTCCCCATTGCTCCCACCGGGGACCAGCCGTGCCAGGCTCTGCCCGCACTGTCCTCCCGAACCCCAGTACCAGAGAGATTAGTTGAGCAACCTGCGTTGCATCTAGATGTTAGAACTGAATGTGAGTCTGGTACCACTTCCCGGGAAAGCGATAATGAGGATCGAGGACCCTCTCTTCTCCGAGAGAATGATCCTGTGCAGTCTCTAGCGGGGGGTGTTGTACTGGAAGGAGGACCTGGCCAGACCCTCGACCATGACAGTGACCCCACCATGAAGCATCCTGTGAATGTGACCCCCACTTCCACCACTGAGTTGTCTTTGGCTGGTTGCCTGCAGGACAGACAATGTGATGATGAATTAGGACTTGGTGATTCATGCTCACCCACGAGGGAAAGTGCTACTAGACAAGAAAACCTGACAACTGAGGCCCTCGTCTCTGATGGTGCTGCTCCTTGGGTGCCCGGCCTGTCAAATGATGAGGCGGTCGGACGGCCTGAACCAGACTCCAGAGGACGTGTCCCATCTGCTGAGCCCCAGGCTGTGGAAGAATGGGAGAAAGCTGCCCCCCTCATTCCTGTGTCAGCTGGGGAGTTGACTGAGGAGGGGCTAGTTCCCCCGGAGCACTTCTCTTTGGTCTGGACGGTGCCGTTGCAAGGGTGTGCTGACAGTGCTGGTGGCCACCGCAAACCGGTGGCAGGTGAGAAGTTGAAGATCAACGGAGAGTCTGAAGCACTAAGTCCTCACGGCGAGTCCACAGACACGGCCTCTGACTATGAAGGCCACCTGTCTGAGGACAGCAGCGAGGCCGACAGCAGTGAGGCCACAGTGGTGAAGAGAGCCTTGGTGGCGGACACGGATGAGAAACACGATTGGAACCACTCTGCCTCACTCTCCAAGGTGAATGGTGATCGGAGTCTGGTTATGAGGACAGACAGCATGGCTCCTCCTCAGAGCTGGGTGTCTCGTGTATGTGCAGTTCCCCAAAAGTTTCCAGATTCCCTGCTGCTGGCCAGTACTGAGTACCAGTCAAGGCCCACATTGCTGGGCAGGCCTGGGTCCTCCATGGAGGCCACTAACCCGCTCGTGATGCAGTTGCTGCAGGGTCACTTACCCCTAGAGAAGGTTCTTCCTCCAGCCCAAGGCAGTAGCAAACCCGAATCCCCACGACTCCCGCTTATGAAAGAGCAGGGCCACGGCGGCTCCCTGGGAGTGGGATCTTTGCAGGACCCTTTGGTAAACAGCTGTGCAGGTAGCAAGACCAGCCCCCGTTCTTTAAGAGCTTCAAAGGAGCTGCTTCTACCTGAGATCCGTGAAGTGAGCACTGGTCTTGCCAGGCTGGAACCCACCCAGGCTCCTGGAGCTCCCCAGAAGATTGCCAAGACAGCCCCAAGTTTAGACTCCCTGTATCCAGTGACAAAGTTGATGGCTGCCTCTGGGAAAGTGGAAGAAGTGGATTCCAAAGAGCAGTTCTCTCCTGTTAGTGTGG